AGAGAAACCATACAAATGTGAGGAATGTGGCAAAGCATTTTCCCAGTGCTCATCCTAAATCTAATTAACAGAATTCATAAGAGAAAAATTCTACGAATGTGAAAATTGTGGCAAAGCCTTTAATAACTGTTCAAATCTTATTAAACATTAAAGAAATCATACTAGATAAAAATTAGATAAATGTAATGAGTATGGAAGTGCTTATGCAAAGTATTAGCCTTAAAATGCACAACAGTACTTTGAGTAAACTATAATAATGTAGAGTGCTGACAATACCTTTAGTTATAACAGACATCTTATTGGATATGGGGGAACTTACACTGAAAGAAATGTTCCAATATTTTCTCAAACATTGCTCAACATCACAGAAAGTTTAAAGAATAGAAATCTTACAAATATAATGAATGTGAAAAATATTTATACAAATGATACACCTTAGAGAACAAAGAATTGATCATTTAAGCTACTCTACAGATATAATAAGTTTCAGAATGCATTTAATGAAGAATCAAGTCTAAACAGATAGAGTTCTCACAGGGCAATGCACTGAGTCACTAACACATTCTCACGTTTCTTTAAACCAGGTTTTTGATTATAGAGAACAACCCAGTTAAAATAGTTAGTTGATTTATTTGTTGTCAGCTTTAAAAAGAGAGAGATTTTTTAGAGTTATAATTACATGTAAAGTATACTTTCTGGTCAGGGTGGGGTTAAAATGTAATAAAGTATAATTTTTTGCTATTTTTGACATGCAAATACTGATGTTATTCAACTTTATATACAGTAGATGGTATGCTTTCATTCTTTGCGCGTATGTAAATATGTGTGGTTAATGATAGCCACATCACATTTATTCTATCTTAAGAATACAGTCTTTCTATATTAAGTAGGCATTATTCATGTACTTTTCCATGGAAAATTAAAAACACCGAAATGTAAGATTTATGAGATGGAGAGGTACTGTGGAATTTTCTTATAAAAAAGAGTATTTTAAATGATGTATGATGTAGGTATACAGACTAATATTCTTCTCATTATAATCGGAATGAAAAAATTACGATATTAAAAATAACTTGTGTTAGTATTGCACATTATGATAATAAAATAGAATGAAATTGGGAATATTTTTAGACTACATGTAAACTTAATTTGTTTCATTAAATTAAAAATAATTTTAATGTGTCAAAAATGTTGTAGATTGAATGAACTGTAATTTTGCACCAACTTTAACCTATCCCATGTTACTCAAAGTTGGAGGAAATCAATTGTAAAAATGTACCGTTGGGTTACACAGTGAAATGACATCATTTGTGATCCTTTTTATCGGTGGCTCTACTTTGAAGAATAATGTTCCCAGTGCTTTTTTAAATTACATTTATAATTACATTGTTACTGCAATGCTTATAATAAAGATTTTGAACTTAATGAAAAGCTATACATTTCTGAACACAGAATGACTAGTGATTACATTCTATCCTACATTTTTCTTTCAACATGCAACCTGCCTGGCCAGTGAAACAGAAATAAGCATCTTTTTTATTTCTATTGAATCAAATATACAAATACATCACAGTTAAGTTGAACGATAGTTGTAGTGTATTTACAGACTAAGGAATTATGTTTGTGTGAATGTGGATGTATACTTATTTTGAACAATAAAGAAGAAATGTTAGAAAAAATAGGTAATTTAAACGTGTTGAGAATTTACTAGCAAACTAGAAACTTCAAAGATTCTGAACGGAAATAGTTTATTCACTTTACGTTGAATTAATTGTTTAAAAACCTAAAGCTTCTGAAGTGGAACCTGCCCATGCCAATCCCCTGTTCTTACATGCTTATTACTCTTGCTAGGTCTACTATGTCATTTTATTATTTCAAAGTTCATTAAGTATCGTTTATATGACCTGATCTGCAATCACAACGAGGATTATTATAGAACTTAATGGTGCCCATAAAATGATCTGAAGGTATGAGTAATTCCACATTGCAGTAATTTCACTTTACTTAGTACATTGTATATTTTCATACTAATTTGGGAAGCATATTGAAAGCACTTTTTGGTTACTGTTTCTTTTACTTTTGGTCATAGAACCAAAGGATTTCCTGACTTTATCAGGTTACTTTGTTCAGGTAAATACTAAGAAGGATTTCTAAATTATGGAGTTTTTATATTTAAATAGAAGAAATAAGTACAGGACAGTGTTAGATATGTAATAGATGCTTTATAATTAGCAATCAATATTTCTGTGGGAGTGAGCTTGTGGCTCCAGAGAAGAGATTGAAAATATCCAGGGTAAAAAAAAATCACTGATTTTGTATGTGGAGCGAAGGGACCTGCAGAACAACCAACTCTGGGAATTTATAAGTGGAAATTCTGCTTCTTTCATTGCATAATTACCTCTAGTTTTTTGCCATTTTGTATCTTCATTCCCTTCTACAACTGTATCTAAGCCTTTCTTCTTTCCACCTGTGCTTGGGCTACAATATTTTCACTGTTGTACTCACCTCCGATGTTCTGATGAGAAGTGTAGAATTTTTTTCATTTGGTGAAAAAAATATTTTAACTAGAGAGCTTGAGGCCATTCATAGGCTATACATACAGCATTCTGATTACTTAATTAAGATTAGAGAGTCAGTGTCCTAAAGTTAAATTAAGAACCTTAAAGGCCAAAGAAAGATAAACAATTCTGAGTGCCAGAGGATTAAATCAAGAACACAGTGTTGTTTGCTTTGTATAAGCAAAATGTTAATAGATCCTAACATATAATGTCATAAATATGAAAATAAGTAAGTAAAGCATTAATAAGTGTGTGATGCACGATGGGTAAAGACTATATAAAGAGAAAACCATGTGAAGCGGCAAGCGCTCCAAGAGGAGTTTCAGGACGAGAAAGAGGGATGAGATTTAAGTTTTCTTATGGAATTACTTACAGGGACGAACATATGGGCATCCATCTAGAAACGAGAGTGGAGGCGAGGGAGAAAGAAAGAAATGATTCTGCGAGTTGAAGAAGAGTTTGGAATAATCTCTTTATTGTTCTGATATTGTCAATCTTAGAGGAATTTAATTTACATAACCTGTTATCTCCTGAAGGATAAGGCAGGGGCAGCAGTACACCAGTCTCATGTGGTGCATCTAACTGTGGGCAGACACCTTTGGTTCATTCTGCCCCTAAGGGGAAGCTCAGGGTTCATGCCGACGTTCTTATGAAAAGTGCATTAGGATGTTTGGAGCGCAGTCCTGGTTTTTATGCTCCTCCAGGAGCCAGAGGTTGAGGACAGTGAGCGACCGGACAGTATTCGTTCGTTTAAGTCTCCTTCCATACACATAAGTCAGCGGACAGACGCAGGGAAGTTTTTTCCAGGTGTCTTGTAGCTTCAAATAAAATCGTTAAAGGCGCCCTTTCGATGTTCTGTGGTGTTTATGGAACCTGCTGGTTAATATCAGAGTTCCGTTTTTTGCTGGTGTGTCCCTTGCTCACCACTGGGACCAAATGGGAATGACAAAGAGCAGCCACCTGTCACTCTGTTTGCCTTGGTTATAGTGCCGCATTGGCTACAGGCCAGCTCACAGCAACTTCAAACTCTTGGGCTCAAAGGCGAACTTCCTCTGCTCAGGCCCTCCCTTGATAGCATGGGACTACAGGTATATGCCACAATACCCTGCTGATTTTTCTATATATTTTTATTTGGTCGATTAATTTCTTTCTATTTTTAGTAAAGACACAGTTTCATTCTTGTTCAGG